ACAACAACAACAACGCTACCATCAACATTATCATCATTATTAATACGTGAAAATAAATTCACAACAATGTCATTACAACGAGTAGAAATGGATGACGTACTTCATCAAATGAACAATAATATTGATAGTGAACAATAAATGATGGTCAAGTATATATTATTAATAAATCATCACCATCTCTAGCGAACAGTCTGTTTTATTAGTTTCCTTTTATATGACACAATTGTTTAGCTTTTAATGTCTATTACATCGCTTTCGTTTTTTTTTTGGTCTTAAATAAAATTATAGAGCATGGAAATTAATATCTAATTAGATAAAATTTTGAATACTTGTCAAGATAGTTTAAATCTTACGAAATGATTCTTGTTTGAAGAAGGACAAAAATAACAATAGAAGAAATGTGATCTTTGTTTAAATATTCTTCAGAATTTGACAACTTTTCACTTACATCTATATGTTCAACATTAAATCATCAAAAGTAATTAATACTACTCAAAAAAAAAGGAGGACAATTACATCAGATTCCAATGCATAGAAAATTTTCCGCACTCTCATTGATATTAATGTATAATATTGACGTAAATAATTTCTAGAAGAAATAAAAATGTTTTGTTCTTTCAACATATTATTAAATATAGTTTTGTCAGTTAATCTCAAGATTTGAATTATTTTAGTGTTATATTATTTTGGAAATAAACAATAAAAAGATTTTATCTAGATTAAAATAAATATATGTTCGAACACTAAATCGAATGTTGATAAAATTTCGAAATACAACAATGATTTGTTTTAATTGAATTGTTCAGTTGCGCCGATAAAATGTTGCTTCTGTAACAAGTGATACATAATAAACACGACAAAATGTTTTCCTCTCTTTTTTAGGATACTTAACAACATATTAGAGACTTTATTTTAGGCTTATTCGATAGAGAATTTTCTGTCGTACAAATCTAATGTCATTGTTTTTTCAAATAACTTATCAATTTGTCGACGTAAAATTTAAAAGATGAACACCTACTCAATCGTCTAACGGCGACGGTCAAAAAAACCAAAAAATGTCATAACGCTTTTCTTGATATTTCAAATATACTACAAAGTTCTCTATAGAACTGCCTAT